AAAACATCATCCAAGAAAAAGCTCCTATTTTTTTAATCTATATTGATGAAAGGATTCCTGTCTGTCTGTTGAGTGGGACAGAGTTTCTGCTGCTGGTGTTTTATGAAAATCTTGGATATTTTGCTTTCATTTCGAGAAACGGTTCCACCACAGCAAACTGCAATCTTAGCCTCCCTATTAGGGTCAGGGGGCAAATCTTCGCGATGCACATTCAATATCTACAGACCTTCCAACAAACCCTGGGGTTCACTGCTCTCCGCCAGATCATTTTCAGCATTTCATTTCTCCCTCTGCTGCTTCTATCATTGCTTTTCACTTGTAAAGTCTCCAGAGGTTGACAGGTTCGAGCAATAATCACTTGTATTGTATTCATTTTATGCATTAAATCAGATTAGATTTGATTTCTTGTGTCAGATGTATTGATCTTTAAAGGAGTCATGTTTTAGTTCCTTTTATTTTCCTTCCATCCCAAACGAAGGCTCCAGCCCTTTGCATCAAACAGCTGCAGTGTATTCACTGTGCTAATATTGCCTGACCTTATTGTGATATTGCTAAAGCAGAGGATCACCTGAGGTCGGCCCACGTCTCTCTGCTGTCTCAGCAGCAGCAGCCCGTTCTGCACACTCAGCCTCTTAGTCCCTCAGCTACTGACTTTGTGTCTAACATAAGCAGAGGCAATAACACAGTGACCTAGATTATCAGGTTTTCATGCTGCCCTGAGAAAATTACACATGGTTCATTAATTTTTCATGATGCTGTATGTTAAGAGTGGTGCAGATGAATGTCTTTTACTAAGGTGTTTAGATGCAGACCTTAGCATTCTCACATGGTCCTCAGTAAATCACATATAGAGCATTATTTATTCATGGAAGCATGTGTTAAAGCAATTTAATTAACCTCGGATGATATGTGTATGTGTAACACAGTGGCTTTTTGCTTCTGGCTAAAACTCCAAGATGTTGGGCAGCTTTATTACAAAGAAATTTGATTTAACTGATGTGGCGAGAATTTATTTCACTGTTCATTTTTTAGCCTATAGTTTATTGTAAGATTCTACTAATAAAGTTTAATCCTAAAGCAACTGCTGATAGATATGGAAATAGTCTGTTACTGGTTAATGCACTGGAAAAAATAAAAATCTAAGATAAATAAGTGCATTTGTTCTTGAATTAAGGAGGTAAAAGAGACATTTTGCCAATGGAACAAGACAATTTACATTTAAAATAAGAAAACACAACTGCATTGTCTTATTTCAAGTGCATTTTATCTAATTATCTTATTTTAAAAGTAAAAATACTACTTCCATTGGCAGATCATCTCATTTACCTACTCAAAAAAAGGGTAAATACACTTAATTTATTAAATTTTTATTTATCTCTAGATCATTTTTCCAGTGTAAAAAGTTTGTTAACTTTTTTTTTGACAATTTTCTTATTGCTAGTTGATGAAATTGAAGCAAACAACAAAAAAAGAAAAAACCAACAAAATATTAAGACAGATTTATGAAAATACAGAACATGTGTCTGTCAGACATCTTAAAGACTTGGAAGCTTATTTTCAAAAGTGGAAAATAGAAATAAAACAAATTTTATTGTGTGAATAAGAATAATTTTCATCATCGTGTAACAAAACAGGAATCCCTCTGCAGCAGTTGTACCTACAGTATAGTATTTACTTAAGGAAATTTCTGGTTATTTGTCTTTAAAATGGTGGTTATCTATTTCCGTCAAAGTATTATTATTTTCCTTTAAATATTGCCCCATGTAAAATAAAACATTGAAAATCTTGTGAACTCTGCTGACACTCAATGAGGTTTCAAACGCCTTATTGTAATGAAGGTTTATTCCATTTTCTGTCATTATTAGATAAATTGATGATATTAAAGAAGGGGCCAGGCTGGACCACAACATCTGTGCAATCAAATTTCATTTGAATTTATCCAATTATATTCAGGAAAGTGTCAAACTGAGTCAAACACACTGTGAATCACAGAAGCTGTTAGCAAGGCCTAAAAAAAACAACCTCTAAATAGATAGATATGTATATATTTGTCTTATATATATTCGTTATATTTTTTTGTCTTACATGTGACTTGTTAGAATTATTTCCTAGTAGCTGTGTGTGGAAGTAGGATGCTTTATTTGCTGAATCACTGTCCTGTCTGCCGCCGGCACCTCAGTTTAAAATGTCAGTGTCCTTCGCTCGGTGTATCACATGCCATTAAGATCTCAGATTTCATATTTATTTTTGTACCAATCCAATCAAGCTCAATTATTCTTCTTTCCATGACTCTGTCCTTTCAGAAGAAGCAAGTTACTGGTTATCTCCTGTTCTCGCTGGGCACCGCCGTCATCGGCTCTCTGCAGTTCGGTTACAACACTGGAGTCATCAACGCTCCTGAAGAGGTTGGTGTGGATTATCTCCTGACCACCATACATAAAACATGTTTTTTTTTTTTTTAAGTGCAGTCAGATGGGAAGACTTTAAATATTCCATTTCAATTCTCCCAATGAAAGCAGACAATGCTTTTTTTCCTGCCTTTGAAAAACTTTTTAATTATTTATTGATGGTTCCATCTTTTAAATGATTTAGATATGCAGGCAAATTTTGCAATGTATGGAAGATAAAAAGTGCCAAAATTAAATAAATAAATACAGCATTAAA